ACGTGTAATGACTGCCTGCTCTATTTCAACAGCATTTTGCATAAAAGACAAATTTGTTCCGTGGTGTCTTGTATCAAAGCGAAGCCTCTGAGGCCTCAGGGCAATGCTGGCTTTGAGGTTAGAGATGGTTGCCAGTTCGAGTCCCGCACCGATGGTGGGGGGGAGGAGGGGTGTTGAGAAGCGGGAAACAAACCCCCCGAACGGCCAGCAGCACGGGGCATGAAATTAGCTTTGTGTTTCTGGGGGTATTTTCGGGCCCTTTGATCAGTTTTTCAGGGACACGCAGCTCCGTCTGAGCAATTTAACTGAGCTATGAAATAATAAATCACAGAGTCATCAGCTCCTTAAAGCAGCGCTCCACCTAAACACCTTTCAGGTTTGTTTTTTTTTTACATTTAGCAACAAAAAGTCTCTCAAAGCCTGAAAAGCAGCTGCAGAAAGTTTGGAAAACACCACTGTTGTTCTACGTCATAATCGCAAATTAGTTTTTCTTTTCACCACTGAAGTAGAATATTACCTCAGACAGGTGCTCCGTCTTGTGACCCTGATCTTGTAGAGGGACTGTTGAGCTTATTTGTTATGAAGTTTATTCTATAAATGTACTCAACTTCAAATTCAGGTTTTTAATATACCAAACATCCAGCAAAGGTCGTATTGTTCCATCACAGAACAACTGTAAGGCTGCACACAAGGGTTGTTTTCCTATAAATACATCATACACTTATTTTCAATAACACTCTGCACCTCAAGCAGTTTCTGGGTATTTTTTTTTTTTTTTTATTATTATTCCTCTCACATTTTTATTTACTGTAAAACCGCATTATAAACTCCTCTGTGGAAACAGCCCAACCTTGGCAAGAAGTAAAAGAGCACAGAATTTATTTATTTATTTTCCTACAGAATCTGGCTGGTTCAGATGGTTTATTTTTGGCAAATTTTTTAAATGAGACATGTAAAATCAAGTGATTTGGATGAGATATCCTGGTTTTATGCTTAGATTTGGTTAGGTTTTCTGACACAGCGATGCATCACAGATAAATAGTTAAAGGACTGTGAGAAAGTCTGTTTTAACAGTTTCTCGCTCTGATAGATGGTATAATTTTGGTGATTTTTTAACAAACAACATGCCTTGGAGGGCTAAATAATGTTATGAAATACCTTACATCAATCAGAGATGACAAAAATTCTTTGCAAATGTCTTCCCCTACTGTGTAAATCACACTATCAATGAAAATATATTCCCATATGTTGTCTATGTCTATTTTTTTTTAAACATGCACAGATATAAAACATAAAAATAGGCTCAACTACTTCAATTACAACACAATATGTTACGAGACAGTGTCTGGGTCATGTTGATTTTCAGAATTTAGCTGCGGTATTTGCAGTTGGCTTCAAACATACAAAATATTCCATTAAGATCCCAGTTTTCTTGTTAATGAGGACTATAAATATAGCAGTTCCTCGGATGTCCCTGAAATGGAAATTAAGGTTATGATCAGAACACACGTTATCCATTACCCCCCTCAGGTTTGTTTTGTAGAAATAATCATCAACGTCTAATGAGGACGGTGTCTTTCGCCTCAGCTGCAGAAATAAAGGTTGAAGTGGATGCGTGTAAAATCATCGCAGACGGTTGGAAGCGTTTCCCTCCACCTGTCAGCAGCCTGAAACAAGCTCGCTGTAAAATGTGTAAACTGCAGCGAGTGTCAGCGAGCTAAATCAACCTGTCAGTCTCGGGGCTGGGCGGCTGCCAGGTGAAAGTGTGTCGCTGTGAATGTGAAGCAGGACGGCCGTAATGAAAAAACGCCGCTCAATCAGGCCTCCGGGACAAAACAGAGGTTAAGACAAACAAAAGCGACCTGAAAGTCACAGCTTTCATCCGTTAAAGTGGCTGAATCGCGCCGCGGTGACTCAGCGCTGACGAAGCCCGACAGTGATTTCAGCCAACAAAAGAACAACAGAAACACAACAAAGACGCAACATTTTTACACGAACGGGTGTGTGGTGACGTGTGTTTGGCTGCAGTACCGCTAAAGGCCACAAGATGGTGCTCAAATTCAACCTCTGACTGCTTATACGTAAAAATATGTTGGTACGTGTACATTTTTCACGTCATGTTTGCAAAAGATTATGAACATGCCCTCTGAAAGTTTACGACACTACAGACATGTTGATGATTAATAATCACAAAATTTAATATTTAAGGAAAATCAATCATAAAAACTTTATTACCAAAATACTTTTCAAATAACTTTCAAATGAGGTAAGACCCCATCATCTGTGGAGCGACGCTTTCCCCAAAAAAGCAAAAAAATATTTAACATGAACACATGAAATACATCAGTTAAAACCATAAAATCAACATGTAAACTCACACATATAAATAAGAGCATGTACTCTAAGATAAACACATAAAACTCTACAATATGAAACAAATGCTAGCATTAACAAACCAATAAGGGAGGTTTTGCAACCAGGTGTATTTTTGAAAACGCATTAAAACATAAGCATAATCTCAATGCATAAAATGTGTTACAAAATACATGTGTCGCTACAATGAAAGTATGGCACACAAAAAATGAATATGCAATGAAAGATATTGAATAAAGATAGATTACAATGTGTATAACAAGAAACAGTTTAACAGTACAACATCCAAATATAAATATAACACAAAACACTATCAAGAT